TGGGCCAGATCTGGGCCAAAAGAAACAATAGGAGTCATTTTACGGTGTTGGGCCAGACCTGGTCTTACTATGGTTTTCATTGTCTGGGCCTGTTTTAGGCCGGGGACCCAGCCAGACTTGGGCCAGAACTTAGGGCCAGACAAATTTTATGTGGGTGCGAGACCAAAAAAAAACAATGGATCATTTGGGAGTCGCTAACCTGTGAAAACTGTGTTAAAATTTTAAGCATTCTCCGCTTGTATATACTTGTTTTGAAGATATTCATATTGAGCTGCAAATGCCTCAAAAACGCTTAAAACAAGACATACAAACGAGGTAGAACAGTACGTTATGTATGTTTGTAGTAGCCTAATTAAATATTTTTTGTCATACATTTTCTCCATCTGTATTTACTAGCTTAAAAAATTAATATATAAAGTATAACAAAGTAAAAAGTGCTCTTATATCGGAATCGATATCAGTATCGGCAGTTGTGTATCGGAATCAGATCGGAACTGAAAAAATGTGGATCGGCCCCTCCCTAAAAAAATGAGTTCAAATAAAATGATCGCGATCACCTTCAGCCTTGTAAAGACAAGCTCGCCTAACTGTTCATGTGATCAGGGAAAATAAAATGTGATGATGTAACACATTACAAATGTAATGCTTTGTGCACTAATCTGGCTACTCTGTAATTGCGTATAACAAACATGATCAAAAACTAATTCTAGGAAAAAAAAAATGTCTATGGGGTCATTAGAAATTTGTGATGTCAAAATGGAATCACAGGCCAAAAAAGGTTGGGAACCACTGTTTTAGACACTTTTAAAATTTTAAAAGGACACATCAAACGGGATGCCCTGCGACATCTACTGGCCAAACAGGGAAAAGACACCCGGGACAGGGCTGGATGGGCACGGACCCGGACACCGCCATGATCTATCCAAAGTCTGAATTCATATGCTGTATGTTTTAGAAATTACAGTTTTTACATTTACCTTAAAAACCTGGGGCCTGTATTACAAAGCCAGATTTCTTGCTTAGCCTGATAACTTGCTGGATTTAAGGTACCCCAGTTTTAATAGACCTTATCAATTTACTTATGTTTAGCCAGACTAACTAAAATACAATATTTTATCCAGCTAAGCAAGAGATCCAGCTTTGTGATGTAGACCCCTGGTGATGTGACTTAGTACCTACATTTTTACAGCAATACTGGAAGCAAACCCAAACACCTGGTACTGATTGGTGGAACTCTAACCCACAACAACCAGGATTGGATTGCTCTACCTTAAACCAGTGATTCTCCGACGCAGAGTAGAATCCCGAAACCTTCTGAAAGCTCTGTTTTGTTTAAAACCGGAAGGTGGGAAATTGCAATTTATTTTGATAAGATATAAAACTTCCAAGGAATCATATACATCACAGAACTCGACTAAACAGAAACCAGCACGAGTGCATCTACAGCACCCAGCACGGTCTGCTCCTGGTATAGGCTGGCATTCTCTGACAGACCATTGAAGACTTGTTTTTACCCGGTAATCTGTCCATTCTCTATGCCTGCTTGTCCAATGCAGGGTTGTTGTGAGAATGACCAAGCAGCATCAGCATGTGGATTCCTGTGGCTTTTTAGTTTTGCTTTTGTTTTGTTTTTTTACCCTCTCAGCTCCACCATCATCCAAATCTGAAAAACATTTCTGTCCTGCAGATACAATTATTTATCATTTAAAATCAATGGAGCCATTTTCTTTGTGATTTTTATTACATTTCAAATTTACACCAATTCACTACACTTGAGTATAAGGGACAGATTTTAAATTGGACTGGGGGAGAAACAGACTTGAGAGAGAAGAGGTGGGTCACCGCTCTGAAGAAGTAAGAATTCACCCCACTGTGGCCAAAGAGCTCAACCATCTCACCACGAAAAAGATAAATGAGGCACAGAAATCCAGAGCCAGTGGGACTGTAATGTGGCATCAGCAACTGATCTGGCCCATTTCCTTCAGGGTTAGACCAGCCAGCGAATGACAGCAGACCACAAAACTGAAAATTGTCAATGTACTGTATCTTACAGCAAAGGACTGTCTACTTCATAAAAAAATTACAAGTAGTAAAAGACAAAAGATATATAGCATGTAGAGAGCCGATTCCTTTTATTTAAAAATTGGCTTGTATAACAGAATGGGAAGTTAAAAAAAACAACAGCAGGAGAAACTATATATAGATAAATGCTATAGTTTCCTTTTCATATGCAGACCAATAAGCAGAAAACTCACAAATTGTCAGGGGACACAGGCTACTTCTGGGATGTTTATAAATAAAAATTACATAGAATGTACACAGTCACAGTCAGACACACAACAAACCCCCTTATACCAGAGGTCAGGAAGGCTTCACAACATTACCTCCATTTTGCAATTCGAATATGATTATTTCACATGACATTTTGAGCCGAATGGGAAAAACAATAAATAAAAACCACAAGTTGACACTAGAATGATATTTTTAGTATCTAAAATCCACTCCCACCATTTGGGCGGTAAGCCAACATATGACGGAAGCTTGCAGGCGTCTTCATCTGTATCACGGCTTGTCAACGGTGGTCACGGGGCATCACACACCACAGGTGAACGAGTGACAGCCCTGCCGTCAGAGCAAGCCGGCAAAGTCCGAAGGGAGTGTGCAGCTGATCTACAGCCGGTCCCCAGTCACCTACACCTGGAGCCTGGAAGTCAGCTCACATGTTTTTGATACATACATACATGCATACATACATGCGTTCCCTTCACTTGTGGTTCTTGTGGATGTTCCCTGTTCAGCGGTCTAAGCAGCTCTGGGGATCGTCCCTGGGATTTTAGGGGTATGCTGTGCATTCTCTATGGGCGTCACTGGCTGTACATTATGTCGTGGTGTGAGCAGTGCTGTCCGTCCAAGGCACTAGCTCAGGAGCTCCAGGTATGTGACGGGCACCTTTCCCTTCTGGTTGCCTCGCTCTCCGATCAGCCAATCCGGGTCCATTCCTGGCAGCGTGTACACCGTTATGAGCTTGGACCAAAGAAAAGACACAGGGCATCATATAGCGGACTCAAATATTATTAGTAAAATATTATATTTAGGTTCACTGACGTTGCACAGCATGCATACTTGGCTGACAAATTTGGCTGAAGGTGCAGCTAGTAAAGACACCACTAGAGGGAGCCAGACTCTGGAGCTCACCTCATCAGCCAGCAAGGACAGCTCGCTCGTGTCTGCTGCGTCGTAGTCGTACAGCACCTTGGCCTTGCGCGTGCCAGCTGCGGGGGCTTGCACGTCTTCCACCTCCAGAGTCTTGGGGGTGGGACTAGCCCCCGGTGGGGGTGCCAGCTGTGCAGAGACGCCAGCCGACCGGCTGGGGCTCATGGCGAAGGTGTTGGGTAAGCTGAACGTGACAAAGCCTTGTTTTACACCATCCATCTGATCCACACAGTGGCTCAAGACCTGAATTCATTCCTCAGGGTTCTGCTCTTAGTTAGACAATTAGCTAAGCCTGCTTCCAGGCAATATCACTGTAGCACAGGGGTCTCCAACTCCGGTCCTGGAGAGCTACTATCCAGTAGGTTTTCTGTCCCACTTGGCTTCTGATGAGCCACACCTGCTCCTGGTATTTACCTTAGAACAGGTGTGGCTCATCAGAAGCCGGGTATGATAGAAAACCTACTGGACAGTAGCTCTCCAGGACCGGAGTTGGAGACCCCTGCTGTAGCAGGTCACATAGATGAATATGAATTATTATTATTAATAACGATCATACTCACGCATCTCCACTTGATCTGTGAGCATGAAAGAAAGAAATGAACAGAAAAGTGGTTTGAAACAGTCTTCCGAGAAACAGATGATGCTATGATTTTACCATAATGTCCACAATATGTGTGCCTATGGAATTGTGGACTGGGAGTGCGTTCGTTATTATGTTTGGTACATACAGGACGCCCGGCCCCCGTAAGTCCTCAGCTTGCTCAGTCAGGCTCTCACCTGGCCAGCTCCCTCTGTAGCTCCTGCATGTGCTGGTGGCACTGTGCATAGTAAGTAGCCTGGGCTTCCACAAACTCATGCAGACAGCGCAAGTGGTTCACCTGCCCGGGGGTGGGGGGAGGGGTGTGTGAAAGAGTGATCGCAGAAGGATTTACGAGAATCGTGCAAATCGCATGACCCCCACGCCCAGTGCTGCTGCAACTCGACTCACATGTGTGCTGCTTATGGCCTCTAGCAGCAAACGCGTCACCTCTGCCTGGCGGTCGAACTCGGTCTGCGCTACACGCAGCTCCTGC